TGCAATTTGTCTCTTGATGTCCTGACCGCTGGTGCCAAGGATGTTGATTGTGGAATGAAGCAAGCTGAAATTGTTAACAATCTCAATCTCTTCTCCCATCTATCATGATGCTGCCAATTGGCTCAGTGGTGAGAATCTTCATTTTCTTGATGTTTAGCTTCAATCCATATTGCAAACTATAGTCCTCTGCAGAAGATGCTTCAGGCCCTCTCATCAATTAAGGTTGTGCTGTCTGCATAACGCAGGTTATTGATGAGTCTTCCTCCAATCCAGCTACCACAGTCTTCCTACTAACCTAAAAATCAGCTGTTTCAAGCACTCAATGGCGCCAAGGGAGAAAGATCGGCGGATCTCTTCCATTTACAGCTTAGGAAACCTGGAGTGAAGTGGACTTGATGCCGAGAGCTTGGGTTTTGGTTTAAAATACATGGCTAGCCATGTAAGTTGTATGCATAGTACATGCAGGCTCAGCTGCCGTGCTTTTAAAAGCAGTGTTGCTGACACTGTATTTTTCGTCATGACACTGTTTTTCTATGATGCACAGGCTTCTGAGGCTGTAAATTAGAGCAGACTGCCTCACTTCCCCTCCCTTTGGGCAGCTGATGGGTTTCACAGCTGACCTTTCAGTTAACAACCAGGTGATGTAACCAACCATCATGGCATCAGAGCTACGTCCCCTCAAACTCAAAGCCATTGAATCTATTCAGACTCCATTGGGTTTCTGGGACTGTGAATCGCAACAGGAGGAACTGTATGACTTTGCCCATTATAGCAGCTGGTGGATTTGAACTTCTGGCCTTTTGGTTAACAGTGCGGCATGTAACACACCACTCCACCAGGACTCCTTCTCCACAGGTATCAGGATCAGGATTCCAGCACCTGCTGGCGGGTGGGGCTAAGACAATTCACTTACCCATAGTACATGTGCAACCTGGACATAGCTTTAGGTTTAGGGGAGAAGGCTTGATTTACACTAGGGGTGGCCGTATTTGCTGAAATATTCCAGGTAGTTGGATGGTGTAAGCGCAGTCAAAATAAAAATTAATGATTCCAGGAAGCTGTGCAGCTTTGTTTCTCTGTGTCAGAGGTTTTTCAGTGATTCAGTTGTGCTCGATTGTCATTCTGCCCTGGTGGCACCCCTAGCAGAGTGCACAGCTAACTCAGAAGTGACACCTTGCTAGCAATTTGGATCCCCCAGCGGCTTCATGGGGGCAGATGGACAGTCTCCTCCCCTGTAGTTACAGTCTGAAAACCTGCTGGAGGGTCAGCTGTGAGTCATTTCTCATTACAGAAATAAGTATGAATTTTTAATTAGCTCCTTCACCCTGTTTTTCTATCTTTTTAATTATTTTTTCCTTTTTTAAAATTGTAATTTGAATGAAAGTTGCCTAGCCGATTAACTTTTCACTCAACCCTTCATATACACTCTGTTCCATAGTAACAGTTTCAATAACCATAATGTAATCACACTGGGGTGTCAGAACCCTGAAATTTGGCTTTTCTAGCCATTGTGTTAGCACCCATTGTGGGAGCATGGTCTCCAGTTACCTTAACTGTGGGTACAAGGTTTTGCAAATCATCAAGAGCTGTGGGACCAATACAAGAGAGAGTACTTTCCACATAGTGGAAGATGGAGGGAATACACAGAGTCACTGTACCAAATAGAACTGACTGGAAAATTTCTGAAGTACCAAATAAGGCCCCAGGAATGGATGGGATACCAACTGACTTGTTTCAATTAACAGATGCAGCTTTGGATGCACTCACCCGTCTATGCAAGGAAGTTTGGAAAACAGTTATCTGGCCAGTGGATTGGAAGAGGTCTATATTTGTTCCCATTCCTAAGAAAGAAAAGTGATCCAACAGAATGTGGAAACCATTGAAGAATATCATTAATACCATGAAAAAAATTTTCTTGAAAGTAACATATTCTAGTTTTGAAAATAAACTAGTAGAAAATTAAAAATTAAAAAATATATGCAAGCAAAATATTACTGAAGATCATTCAGAAACAGCTAGAACAGTACATAGACAGGAAGCTGTCAGAAGTTCATGACGCCAGGGATATCATTGCTGATGTCAGATGGATCCTGGCTGAAAGTTAGGAATACCAGAAGAATGCCTGTTTGTGCTTTATTAACTGTGCAGAGGCGTCTGACTGTGTGCATCATAACAAGTTATGGGTAACATTGAGGAGAATGGGAATCCGAGAGCAGTTAACACGTCACCGCAAATGACGGCAAAATGTGTTTCTAAGCACAGTTGTCAATTTAAAAGTGTGTAGTAACATGTTAATTGTGTTTATGCAGAACCTATACCTAGCCTAGGAGGCTGTTGTGTGAACAGAACAAGGAAACACTGAATGGTTTAAAATTAAGAAGAGAGTGTGCGTCCGGGTTTCATTCTCTCTCCATAACTATTCAGTCTGTATGCTGAGCAAATTATTCAAGAAGCTGGATGCTATGAAGAGAAATGCAGTGGCTGCAACAGAGGGAGACTCATCAATAACCTGTGTTATGCAGATGACACAACCCTGCTTGCTGAAAGTGAGGAGGACTTGAGGCAATTGTTACAGAAGATCAAGGAATACAACCTTCAATATGGGTTGCATCTCAGTGTAAAGAAAACAAAGATTCTTACCACTGGACTGACAGGCAACATCCTGAAAGGTGGGGAAAACATTGAAACTGTCAACAACTTCATCTTACTTGGATTCACAGTTAACATCCTTGGGACCAGCTGTCAGGAAATGAGGAACCACATTGCACTGGGAAAGTCTGCCGTTAGAGACCTCTCCAAATTATTGACTAATGATGTCAGTTTGAAGACTAAGGTGCATCTGATTCAGGCCATAGTCTTTCCAATACTTGGCTCTGCATTTGAGAGCTGGACAATGAATAAGGATGACAGAAAAATTGATGCCTTTGAACTGTAGTGTTGGAGAAGAGCACTGAACATCCCATGAATGGCCAGAAGGACAAACATATCTTGGAGAGGGTGCAGTTGGAGTGCTCTTTGAAGGCAAAGATGATGCCGTTTTGCCTCACGTGCTTTGAGCATATTGCTAGGAGCGGCTATTTCTTGGAGAAGGACATGATGCTAGGTTGGGGGGGGGCAGTGAAGGAGAGAAAGACCCTCTCAACCAGGAGTACTGACATGGTGACTGCTGCAGTGAGCTCTAATGTGTCAGGAAGTGTGAGGGTGACACGGGCTAGGACAGGGCTCAGATACTTTGTTCATAAGGTTCCTATGGTTGTACTTAACAGCCTCTAACAACACAATGATCTGACTTGGGACAGTTGGACTAAACCTGGACTTGTACTGGGTGATATTCTTTGTCACGCCCACTCTCTAACCTGCTTCCCTCGTGGGCCCTATAACTGGGAGGAGTCAAGTGTATGAGTCAATTTGCAATGACCATTGAGCCCAGTGATTGGTAGAAATAGGTGCAGGAGTGTGAGGGTGGCATGTCTGACCATGTAGCTGTTTGTATGGGACTATGGATATTACTGATGGGGCATGTTCCCCTTTCTTGTTTTCTTTTTCTTTTATCAGGCGACCTTTTTGCTTTTATTTTTCTCAAACAGTGAATACTGTCCTTCTGGTAGCGGGGCACCTGCCGTGTACATCTTGAGTCTGTAACAGTGCCCCAGACTGTTCTTTCAAATGAGGAAAACTTGGGGTTTTTTTCTCCCTTTGACAAATAATGGGCACCAGAATCAGCTGTATGTCTGGGCTTATTTTAAAGAACACAGGCAGAGATGAATCTGTGTGGCTTCAGCAGACCTAGATTCAATCCGTGGGCAGCTTGGCAATGCTGGTGGGTGTGGGCTGCGTGGAGCCACTGTTAGGGTGGGCTCACCACAGGCACAGGGGAGAGGAGGGAGACGGGGGGATACACTGGACAGGTGAGTGCTGGTCACGCCAAGTGAGCAGCCCTTTAACAAGGGAGCTGTGAGAAAATGTTCAGGAGGCAAAGAAGAAAAAGAAAAAGCTAAGATGGTCAAAAGGTCTAAGGGGAAAGGCAAGACAGGGCACTATTGAAAGTGGCAGATTTAAGCAGTAAATCACTTTTCAATGAAGCTACCCTTCCTCAGATGGTCCCAAGATGGGAGACCAGCACTCTTATTAAAAATAGAAAACAACAACAAAGTTACTTGACCAGTTTCTAGGAAGAACCGCCCTTCATGGTCTGTGGGATAAGAAGTGGAGGAATGGGGGTGCCACACCATTCAGCCCACCTTTTACCTGCATGTCCTCTGAGCCGTCTTTGGAACGACCCACCCACTAGCAGACAGCCCCCAGCAACTCTGCTGGAAAGTTCTCCTTTCTGAAGCAGGCAGGGGTCAGAATCGACCAGTCGCGTGTTCCATCAGCTCCTTTCACCCACTTTCCCCACTTCCTCCCTATGATTCTGGTTTCCATTCATCCTTCTGTACCTCTCTGTGTCTTCCCTTAACGAGACTGTGCTGATCATTCTTTGCACACCCATCAACGTGTCTGTCTATTGTTTGTTTCCTACTTTTTACTCCTCTCTCTCCTTCCCTTTCCATCTGTGGCGTCCATCCAAGTAAATGATTCAGTCCAGATGTAATTCTGTTTTAATTCTGTTTCTGAAGGAGTAAAACCAACACTTAGCTGATGGTGATCTTTATAGAAGGGCTTTAAACCAAATCCAATCATCTGCTGTGGAGTCGCTCTGACTTGAAGTGACACCACGCACCCCATCCTCGTGTGTCAGAGAAGACACCCCCAGAGGGTTTTCAGGGGCTGAGAACTCAATCACCAGGCCTTTCTTCCAGGGCACCCTGGGTCAGCCTTGGGTCACCAGCCATTCAGTTAGCAGTGGAACTCTGACCCGTCAGCACCACCTGGACGCTCTCAGACATGGACGTTTCTGGCTGATGTTTGCACAGGGATGGACGGTTAGGAGTGTCCTCTAAGCTAAGACGGACCAGTGTGCTTGTGTAAATGTTGACCTGTTTCTCTCCTCGCTTTAGCTAAAGTTTCCGAAGGCGAGGAGGAACAAGAAGACCCGTACCTGAATGACCGCTGCCGAGGTGAGCGTCCACATCCCCCCAGGTCATGCGCTGGGTCTGTCGACCTTTGACGCTGATGCTGTTGGGGGCGTGAGCCTCAGACACCCCCTGCAGGGTGCCCTTCTTGGGGTGCCTGCCTGGCCTCCAGTTACACCGAGCTCCACCCTCGAGCTCCACCCTCGTTCCCTCTGATGTCCTTGGAGCAGGGACCTGGTGGGATGGGTGGGAGAGGGGTGGACTTACAGAGAAGGGGCCGTAGATGAAAAGCTGAAATTAGAAGTGCCTAACTTCACAGGCATTGTGAGGCCCCCAAAGTGGGGTCTCTCAGAAAGGGGTGCAGTGCCATTGGTCTCAGTGTCCCCCGAGTCCGCCAAGTCTGATGCCATCTGTCCCACGGAGATAGAGGGCCCAGCCGGCTTGTTCTAAAGCTCTGTTTCTCTCTCTTGGTCCAGGCCAGCATGTGGTCACAGGCAGGCCACACCCTGAGATCATTCTGTGGCCAGCCCATGCTTGGGGAGGGTTGTTGATGGGGACCACAATTAATGACACTTGATGTGGCCCGTGGTCAGTGACAGCACGGAGGCCTGGGGGGAGGGGAAGGAGCCAAGACCCCTGAAGCCTCTGACCCCTTTCCCTGGTTCTGTCTCAGAGAGGACAGATAGACAGCGCTAAGAAGAGTTGTGGAATCTCATCATTTTAGAGCCTGGAAGCTCACAGCAAGTGTCAGCCTTGTTTATTCTGCTTCCAGGACTCCCTCCCAACTTCTGGGGGCACCAGTGACCCTTGACATTCCTCAGCTGCTTCTGTCTCTTCACGTGGCGTCTCCCCTGTGTGACTCCACATCTCAGCTCCCCCTTTATAAGACACCACACAGAAGGGGTCAGGGCCCCCATAACCAAAACCACTATTGACCATGGAGTCAGTTCTGTGGACGCAGCCTGGCTCATCCTTCTCGCTCAGAGCAGCTGGTGGCTTCAAACCACTGACCATTTGGTTAGCAGTCAGATGTCTTAACCACAGTGCAACCAGTGCTCCTGCCTACTCTGGTTGCTTTGTTATTATGTACCATCCACTTGGAATCAATCACAGTTAACCCCACAGAGAGCAGCTAGTGGATTTGAACCACTAGCCTTCAAGGTTAGCAGGAGCTCCTGACCAGTAGGCTGCCAGAGTTCCTTGCTATTCTGGTAGAACTTTTCATTTAACCCTTTTACAAGTGGGTTAAAGGAACTCTACTTTGACTTTTTGGTTGAAACTACATGGTTTCAATCATGGAAGCCACTTGGAATAAAATTTTTAAAAAACCTGGAGACTGTGGTCATGATGATTGACTAATTAATTAATAATTAATGTATTTATATGTATGAATATGTGTGGAAATTAAAGATGAACATATGATTTATACCTTCTGAAAAAAAATTTAAAAAAAACAACAAAAACCTCTGTGAGTGCTGAAACTGAAGAGGGCCTGAAGTGCCTGCTGCTGAAAGTCAAGGAGTGTCATTTTCAATATGGATTGAAGCTCAATATCAAGAAGACAAAGACTCTCACCACTGGACCATTGGCAGCACCATGATAGATGGAGAAGAGATTGAGGTGTTAACAATTTCAGGAAATCAAAAGACAAATTGCAGTGGGAGAATCTGTTGTCAGGGACCTCTCCAGAGTGCTGGAGAGCAATGATGTCAGTCTAGAGACTAAGGTGTGCCTGATCCAGGCCATGGTCTTTGCAATTACTTGTTATGTATCAGAGAGCTGGACACTGACTAAGGATGACAGAAGAATCAATACCTTTGACATGTGCTAGAGAAGCGCACGGAATATACCACCAGCTGCCAAGAGAACAAACAGGTCTGTCTTGGAGAGGGTGAAATCAAGTTGTTCCTTGGAAGCTAGGGTTTTGAAGTTCCATCTCACATACTTTGGTTATGTGGCCAGGAGAGACTGGTCCTTGGAGAAGGACATCATGAAGGAGAGGAAGACCTTGGATGAGATAGATTGACACAGTAACTGGCGTAATGGGAGTATCTGTGTCAGAATCAGTGAGACTGGCTCAGGACGGAGCAGGCTTCAGAGCTGCTGTACACAGGGTTTCTATGAGTTGCAGGTGACTTGACGGCCCATAAAACAACACTGATAAGGATTGAGATGCAATAAGTGGGACAGCTCTGTCCCAAGGGGTCTCTTATGCTGGGATTGTGGGATGAAGCCCAGTGCTGCAATTCATGCAGCTGTGCAGTTGTCCACCAGATGGGAGCACACACTAAGCCCCAGCGGCAGAGCGTGTAGATGGCACTGTGTGTCCCAGGGACCAGGAGTGGGTTAACTGACAAGGAAAGACCGCATGTCCCCAAACAAGACCTTGCCCACAGGCTACAGGGGTTAAGACTTCAGCACAGCTTTTGAGGGTCACATCAGTTCATAGCAGTCTTGTGATGCCATCTGGGACTGGAGAGTGGGGGTGTCTTCAGAGGATTATCCAGGAAGTAAAGCAGTAAGAGCACTTGAGGGCAAGTGCGCCACAGCAAATGGCCTTGGTGACCAGTGGGTGAAGTGAGGGGTGGAGGAGGGCAGTGGGGAGCTGGGCGGAGCCCTGCAGGGCCTGGACTCCAAACGCACTGCTGATGAGGCCGTTCTGGCTCCTGGGGACCCTCCTTCAGTGTCCAAGGCTGTAAATCCCAACAGGAGAGTGATTCTGACTCCCAGGGACCCTCCGTCAATGTCCAAGGGTATAAATCCCAATAAGAGGGTGATTCTGGCTCCCAGGGACCCACAATCGCTGTCTGAGGCTGTAAATCCTAGTAAGAGGGTAACTGGCTCCAGGGACACTCTATCAGTGTCTGAAACTGTAAATCCTAACAGGAGGGCGATTCTGACTCCAGGGTGCCCTCCATTTCTGTCTGAGGCTGTAAATCCCAACAGAGTGATTCTGATTCTGTGGGACCCTCCATAAATGTCCAAGGCTGTAAATCTCAAGACGGTAATTCTGGCTCCCAGGGACCCTCAATTGCTATCTGAGGCTGTAAATTCCAACAAGAGAGTGATTCTTACTCCCCGGGACCCTCCATCGGTGTCTGAGGCTGTAAATCCCAATAGAGGGTGATTCTGACTCCTGGGTCCCCTCCATTTCTGTCTGAGGCTATAAATCCCAATAGAGGGTGATTCTGACTCCTGGGGACCCTCCATCAGCTCTCTGAGGTGGTAAATCCCAATGGGAGCAGCCTGCCCAGCTTTCTCCCTTGGTGGGTTTAACTATGGCACAGCCCATAATGCACTGTGTCACCAGCCCGTGATGCGCTGTGTCACCAGCCCGTGATGCACTGTACCTCCAGCGCAGCTGTTGGGCATTAGTTTGATGGGGGTTTATCCTCATGGACCTTTCTTTGAAGAACCTTGCTCAGTCTGCCCTGGAAAGAGAGTGGAATGAGGGGACAGTACGAGGGAGATCTGGGGGGACTCCCTGAGCAGGCGGCTGGAGCTGAGGCAGCTGGTGGCAGTCCTTGTGTGAGGAAGATCGGGGTCAGGGTCGTCCAGTGCAGGGACCCTCACTGGTTGATGTTCTCTCGGCCCTGCCCCTCCCACCCTCCATGCCCCTGTGCTGGCAGCCAGGGCTGAGACTGGATGCTGCAGCCCCCTGACCCCCACGGGCCTCACAGAGTGGTGGGCTCTGTGGGGAGGGTAGAGGGCTACATCCCGCTCCTGCCCACACGTGCTCTGTCTGCAGGTGGGGGGCCCTGCAAGCAGCAGTGCAGGGACACAGGGGAGGAGGTCGTCTGCTCCTGCTTCGTGGGCTACCAGCTGCTCTCCGATGGCGTCTCATGTGAGGGTGAGTATCCCGGGCTGTACCATGGGCTGGGGCAATCCTCGAGGCCGAGGGGCCACTGCAAGACTGGGGAGCACCCAGGACTCCATTTCTGCCTCACCCAGCTCAAATCACATCAGAGAAGAGAGACTGCGATCTGAGGAGAGGGCAGGTGCTGGTGTCAGGCCGGGCTGAGTCCAGGATCAGTACTCTCTCCTCTGGCTCTAAGCGGGAACAGTGACACCCTTCTAATGCGCTTGTTGAAAGTCAGAGGATCCTGGTTCAAGGCCAGCACCTTCTGAACAGGGCTTTGGTCACTCTGAAACAGTAGAGGACTTGGTGGCGAGCCCCCAACTATCGTCCCTCTAAGCTCAGTCAGATAGATGAGACTAGATCAGATGCGGGGCTCACAGAAGCAGGGTGCCAGCTCCCTGTGACTTCTGGAAGGTTCTCAGGGGTGATGCGCTCTGGCTGGTTACGCCTGCTGTCTGTCTGCTCTCTCCCAGACGTGAACGAGTGTATCACCGGCAGCCACACCTGCCGGCTGGGCGAGTCCTGCATCAACACTGTGGGCTCTTTCCGCTGTCAGCGTGACAGCAGCTGTGGCACGGGCTACGAGCTCACAGAGAGCAATGAATGCAAAGGTGAGGGTCCTCCCCGACCCCTCTGCCGTCCCCAGGGTGGGGGTGCTGTGGAAAGGGGTGGGGCCGTCAGAGGAGGCTGCCTTCTCGTGTGTGGGATGCTGTTTGCTGCCGCCAGTCAGTGCCCACTGCGTGGTGACCAAGTGCCACCTGGCTGTATGCCGTCGCAGGCCCAGCCACAGGAGGGCTTCCCAGGGTGGTACACCTGCACACCCTTATACCTGCCTGGGGGTCCCGCCTGGTGCAGACGTGAGCTGATAGGTGGAGGGTAGTGTCCGCTCAGGGACACCTCAGGAAAAAGCCCTGGCTCTCTCCTTTCACGGAGTAGCCCCAGAAACCCCCATGGGGCCCAGTTCTACTCTGGTACACACGGGGTTGCTGTGAGTCAGAGTCCATTTGATGGCAACAGGTGTTTCACACCTGCTTGGCCGGCACCGGAGGGATTAGCAGTGAAATGAAACAAGAAAATGCCAGTCAAAATGGTCAGAATGTAGAAAAGCTGACGGCAGCCCCCAGCACCCCACTTCTGTCACCCCTGTCTTCTGCCGGTGCCCAGTCAATAGTGGTGGTCAGTCTGAATTTCAGAAAGGCCTCTGTGCACCGATGCTTGAAAATAACACCTGGGGTGAATTTTAGGGCCTCATGTGTGCTTTCAAAAAAGAAAATAATTGTGTAACAGCTGGTTCCCCTCTGGCTGCAGGCTGCCTTCCTGCCTGCAGTGGGCCTTTTCAGGCCGCCGGCCCCTTGCCACCAAACCCTACCCGGTCCCTGGCAGACATCCCCTCTGGGGAGGGTCCCTCAGAACGTGGTTCTCTGGGGGATTCTGGGTCTTCTGAGACAAAGGAACCATTTGTACCAAAAGGTTGAAAAGCCAGTCTCACCCTCTGCCGTAGGAAGCCTTCTGAGCTGGTTCAGGTCCTGCCAGGTTGATGACTTGCTGGGCAGTTTGTACACGGCCAGCCAAGCGTCTCTGCTTGGATATGCCTTCAAGTGGCCATGAACTTGGAGGGAAGGCAGCCTAGTCCTCTCCCCTCCTGACAGTCACCACTGTCAGTATTTGGACTATCATGAACACTTCCAAATGAAGTCGGTTCTGGGGACTGTGTTTCTTGCCACTAAGACAATTCTAATCTAAATTAAAGAGACCCTTAGCCAGAAGTATATGTCTGCCAGGAAAATGCCCGTGTAAGTTATGAAACAGCAGGAGGCCTGCCTCACGGGGCCTGGGAACCGGGTGCTGCTGTCTTGAGCAGCGTGGGCATTGCGTGGCTGGCCAAATCCCCAATTGTGTGGGACCCAGTTTTGTGGGATTGTTTCAGGTTCTACTCTGAGTTAATGAGCATTTGAAAAAAAAGAAAGAAAAAAAGAGAAATGTTGCTTGTGATTTTAAAGTGTTGTGAGATGCTCTGGCAGAACGCTTGCTAACGTTTTCCTTTTTTTATGACGTACCAGATATTGACGAGTGTGAGAGTGGTATTCATAACTGCCTCCCCGATTTTATCTGTCAGAATACTCTGGGATCCTTCCGCTGCAGACCCAAGCTACAGTGCAAGAGTGGTTTTATACAAGACGCTCTAGGCAACTGTATTGGTAAGACACGCCGCCGCCCGGCCTCAGGAGGGCCAGGGGCTGCAGAGGACACAGAACCAGGCCAGCTGGTCAGCGTCCTAGGTGCTGCTCCACATACGGACTCTGTCACAGTTTCTCAACTCTGTGATTGTAGCGTGAAAGCAGCCACAGACAGTGTGTAAACAGACGAGCCAGGCTGAGTGCCAGGAAACTTTTTATTTAGAAAAATGGACAGCTAGATTAGGCCCGAGGGCTATAGCTTGCCAGCGGCTTGCCTGGACGAAAGAGACTTGGTGACACAGACGGTTAAGCCTTGAGCAGTTAACAGAAAGGTTAGCAGCCACTGTGGCAGAAAGACCTGGTGAGAGGTTCTCCTGTGGAGATTCCAGGCAAGAAAACACTGCGGGGCGGTTAGTTCTGTTCAGTCACATGGTGCTGCATGAGTCGGAATCCTTGCCACAGTCCCAAGAGCAGTGTAGACGGGGGAGCCTCTGGCTGGTACACTTGGCTGAGGAGCGTGCCGCTGACCGTGGCTGGCAGTTCAGATGCCTCGGAAGAAAGGCCTGGCCATCGCCTTCCCAAACAGTCGCCGTAGCGGAGGCTCCCATCCTCTTCTGACCCGCACGGGGTCACCATGGGCTGGAATGGACTCTATAGCCACTGGTTTGGGTTAGGGTTAGTGTAGGTGGAAGATGTGAAGTTATGTGGAGTCCGAGGCACCTGGTTTGGAACTGAGTCACCCAAAAGCAATTTACTTCTCTTCTCTGGACTCCACTGTAGCAGGAGAACAGTCATGATAGGAGCTCTAGACGTGAGGACAAAGGTTGAACAAGGAGGTTGTGCCCAAGACAAGGGAAACCAGCTCCCTGATAGAATGGTTTCCGTGATTTCAGAATTGTTGAAAAGTACAGTGTCCAGATAGAGGAAAGAAAATTGCTTGAACCAGGGTAAATAAACCCTGGAGTTCTGGACCCGCTCTCCCCTCCAGTCTCTCCCTCCTTCCCTTCCTCGTGCCCCCTCCCCCTTTCTCCCCCCTCCCCCCCTCTCTCTGTCTCTCTTCCTCTGTCTCACTCTATCTGTCTGTCTCTCCCTCTCTCTATCTCTGTCTCTCTCCCCCTCCTCCCCTTTCTCCCCCCTCCCCCCCTCTCTCTGTCTCTCTTCCTCTGTCTCACTCTATCTGTCTGTCTCTCCCTCTCTCTATCTCTGTCTCTCTCCCCCTCCTCCCCTTTCTCCCCCCTCCCCCCTTTCTCTCTGTCTCATTGCCCAGGACTGCCTCACAGCTGACCCTCCCTTGGGTTTCTGAAGCTGTAAATCAGTCACACAGGAGGAGGTTGTCCATCTTTCTCCATGGAGCTGCTTGGCAGGTTTGACCTGCCAGAGGTCTCGCCTCTGAATTAGCAGCTCAGCTCCCTACAGACCAGACCACCCGAGCTCCTTTGGTGAGCGGTGACGATGTCTTTCTCTGAGACTGGCCCCTCCTGACATCACGTCACTGTCCTTGCCTCTAAGGAGCGCCCCGGTTGCATTCCTGTAAGACACATCTCTGTCCCTTTGATAGCCCGTGGGCTGTTCAGTACTTTTTCCCAAACACCACAACTCAAAGGCATCAATTCTTCAGTCTTCTTAGTCTTTGTCCAACTTCCACGCACTAGGATTGTTGTTCGGTGCCGTCCTGTCAGGTACGACTCATAGTGACCCTATGGACAGCAGATCTGAAGCCGGTCCTAGCCTGTGTCCATTGTGCAGTCACTGTATCAGTCGGTCTCACTGAGGGTCTTTTTCTCTGACCCTTCACCTTCCCCAACATGACCTCAAGTTAACAGCCTCTGCAGTGGGGTCAATTCTGACTCATAGCAACCCTGCAGGGAGGAGAGCAGAGTTGCCCTGTGGCATCCAAGTAGTAAATCTTTATGGGAGCTGACCGCCCCGGCCTTCTGCCATGGACGGCATCCGCTGACCTTTTGATTAGGCTCAATGCCTTAACCACCACACCACCAGAGCGCCTGACCTCATGCTTGTTTTTTTACATTTTTTTAATTATTATTAATTTTAATGAAAATTTACAGATTTTGGATTTCCATTCATTCATTTTTGCACTTTTCTCCCTGCCCACTCTGCCCCTCCAGTTCGTTTTCTCTTTGAAAAGTAAAAGAAAAATTCTTTCATTGTTTTACAAACCCTCCCCCAGGTCCACTCCACTATGCAGCCTTCGTTCTGGAGTCCCATCATGACAATAATACCTAATCATATATCCCTTTTAAACCGTTCTCTCTCTCATCTGTTTCAATGCAGTGTACATTATTTATCCTATCTTTCTTAGTCTCCTTCCAACCCCGATGTCAGTCCTGTTTTACAACAGTGGCACTATGCAGTATTTGTCCTTTTGTGACTGAGATATTTCACTCAGCATAATGTCCTCCAGGGTCTCCCATTTTGTATAATATTTCATGAGTTCCTTGTTTTTCAATGCAGCATAGTATTCCATTGTGTGAATATACCACAGCTTCTCTATCCATTCGTTTGTTGATGGGCACTTAGGTTGTTTCCAACTCTTTGCTACTGGGAACAAAGCCATGATAAACATGTGTGTTCATATATCTGCTTGGGTGGTGGTTTTGGTTTCTTTGGGGTGTAGTCTCAGTAGTGGAATTGTGACCTCATGTTTACGGATGAGATCTATAGAGATCCTCTTCCCAAACAGGGTCGTGTTCCCAAGCACAGGTGTGAAAACAGCCTTGTTGGGGGACAAAATTCAGCCTGTCCCCACACATGAACAGTATAGGTGCCACAGGAATTGGCCAGGTTGATGGTGGCAACGCAGAGTCCTTAGGAAGAATTCAGAGGGGACATCACTCTGTCATCACAGAGGGCCCCAGCGGCAGGCAGGCGGCCGTGCTCTGGCTACAGTGAGGAGCAGAGGGGTCGCAGGCCCCAGGGCAGGCAGAGGGGCAAGGAGGCGATTTCTAAGATAGCCGGCTGGTATCATGAGCAAGTGTCATCCAGGAGGCCAGCAGGCAGCCGCCGTGTGGCCGGAGTGAAGGCTCCCGGAATGCGGGCTCCCGGTGCCTCTGAGGGGACTTCCTGCTGGGTTCTAGATGCCCCCAGTTGACCCATGTTTTGCTTCTCTTCCACCGCAGATATCAATGAGTGTTTGAGTATCAGTGCCCCATGCCCTGTGGGGCAGACATGTATCAACACTGAAGGCTCCTATACGTGCCAGAAGAACGTGCCCAACTGTGGCCGTGGCTACCACCTCAACGAGGAGGGCACCCGATGTGTCGGTGGGTACTTTAAAGAACTCTCTCTGCTCCCAGCATGCCCACCTTCATCTGGAAGGAAAGAGGCGAGCCCCAGAGCCACAACGCTCCCACTGGGCCCTCCTGCCCCCTGCCAGTCCCCAAGCCCAGGCCTGTAATTTCACTTTCTTGGACTGGTGCAAGTTGAACCCCAGCCGTCTACAGTCTCCAGCCTCGAGGCCTCACACCCAGCGAGGCCTCCCCGCTCACCGTCCTCTGTGGCCACCCGGGGCTGGAGGAGCAGTGCACAGACATGCAGTCCAGTCCTTCCCAGCTGCCACCAGACCTGATCATCCAACTTCTCCAGTTTCTGTCCTGCTCATTCCCTTGGTGGCACAATGGTTAAGTGTTTCACTACTAACCGAAAAGTCAGCGGTTCGAATCTCCCCTCCCCCAGTGGCGCTGTAGGGGAAAGAACTGACGGCCCACGAAGAACTGAGGTTTTGTAGGGACTGTTGGAAGGTGCCACCGAGCTGCTTCCAGCTCTTCGTGTCCCCGTGTCCCAGAGAACAGACCCCTGGCCCGACCTGTGCCATCTGCACGTTACTTCCGTGTGTGAGCATGTTGTCTCAGTCCCCGTGTCGGGCCATCTTGTTGAGTCTCCCTCTTTCTCACTGACCCTCCACTTTTCCAAGCGTGCTGTCCTTCCCCAAGGTCTGACCTCCCTGAGGACATGCCCACAGTCTGTGAGAGGCTGGGCCTCACCATCCCTGCTTCCAAGAAGCACTCCGGCTTCACTTCTTCCAAGACAGATTTGCTCATCTTCCTGGCGGCCCGCGGAGTAGGCAATACTCTTAAATCGTCCTAGAAACTGGTCCTCCTCTGTTGTTGTTGGGTGGCGTCAAGTCGAGTACGACTCATAGAGACCCCGTGAAGGACAGATCGGAACCCTGTCCTGTCCTGTGCTCTGACACCCTCAAGCCCTCTGCTGCAGTCACTGTCTCCGTCCATCTCATTGAGGGTCTCCCCCTCCTTTACTGACCTTCCACTTTTCCAACCATGATGTCTTTTCTCTGACTTACTCGTTGTCCGGCTTGTAGCCAAGGAGACACTGTGGGACAGTCCTGCTGTGGCACCAGGTCCCTGACAGGCCTGCTACGTCCCAACAGTGACTCCCCAGACAAGCCCCTTCCTTCCTGTCTCGGTGACTTTTGACCCTTACCTTGTCACCTCTGCCCACACGTACTCTCAAACACCTTGAGGTCTGGGTCAGGGCTTCCTCCTCTAGGCAGCCCACCTGGATCTGGGTGACCTGAAGAGGCCCCCTGTCCCACCCGTAACTTGCAGGACATGCTCTCAGCGCCTGCTCCAGGGTGGCTGGCGTCCCCAGGGTCGGGTGAGGTGGGCCCTGTCCATCCTCTCTGCCCGTCCCCCAGCAGGCCGTCCATGAGATCGCAGCGAAGCCTCTTCTGGACAGGCAGGCTGGAGTTTGCCACTTTCCTGCCCCCCGGATTTCCAGCTTTTCTCCCTTCTTCCCAGATGTGGATGAGTGTGCACCACCCGCTGAGCCCTGCGGGCCGGGCCACGTCTGTACCAACTCCCCGGGCAGCTTCCGCTGCGACTGCAAACCTGGCTACTATTTCGACCCCATTAGCCGGACGTGTGTGGGTACGTGACGGCCCTCTGCGTGTGCTTGGGGTCGAGGGGACCCTGCCCAGTACGTGAACCCTGACTGGGTGGACACAGAGGCTGCCCTCTCCTCTCAGAAACCATCTGGCCACCTCAGTCAGACTCGATCTTGTCGCTTCTGCCCTCAGCCACGTGGCCGTACCTGCCCGTGTGAGCTCACCTGAGGGCGGGTGCCATGTGTCTGCTGGTGGGCCTGCTTTGTCAGACTTTGTCACCCGTCTGCAAGGCCTGTGGCCAGTATGTGGTCAACCAGGCTGGCAGAGCCCCAGGCTAGACCTGTCACCCGGGTAACATTCCCCAGGGGTGTCTGGTATGTCCTCTGACCCCTGCCCGATCCTGGTGGGCCAGGCCAGGCTGGGATTGGGGTGAGCAGACAGGGGCAGGCAGGCAGCCTGGGGCTGGTCAGATCCCTGCTTGCTGAACTGGGGTCAGTTGCTTGTCCTGCCTTCTGAGCCGTGGGAATGAAGGGAGGAAGGGGTGGGAGGCTCCCCGGGCCCGAGTGCAGGCCGGGCAGCCACACAGCTGCCGAGGTGGACGCCCTGAGCCCTGCCCTGCTTGCAGACATCAATGAATGCCGGCGCTACCCCGGCCGCCTGTGTGGTCACAAGTGTGAGAACACGCCCGGTTCCTACTACTGCAGCTGCACCGTGGGCTTCCGGCTGTCGGCCGACGGCAGGTCCTGCGAAGGTGAGGACGACAGGGACCCTGGGGGAGTGGGGCAGGTGAGGGTGACAAGAACCATGCGGGCACAGGGCAGGTGAGGGCAAGTGAGGCTTACAGGGGCCATGCGGGCACAAGGCAGGTGAGGGTGGCAGGGGCCCTGGGGGAGTGGAGCAGGTGAGGGTGACAGGGACCATGGCGGGCACAGGGCAGGTGAGGGCAATAGGGACCCTGGAGGCGTGGGGTGGTGCTGAAAGTGAAGGTGACAGGGACCATGCAGACATAGGGCAGATGTGGGCTGGTGAGGGCAACAGGGACCCTGGGGGCATGGGCAGGTGAGGGTGACAGACCATGGGGGCGTGGGGCAGGTGCGGGCAGGTAAAGGTGCTGGGGTCCATGCGGGTATGGGGTGGTGCTGAAAGTGAGGGTGACGGGGACCATGCAGGCACAGGGCAGGTGAAGGTGACGGGGACCCTGTGGGCACAGGGCAGGTGCGGGTGACAGACCATGGGGGCGTGGGACAGGTGTGTGGGCAGGTGAGGGCAGTGGGGACCGTGGGGGCGTGGGACAGGTGTGGGCAGGTGAGGGCAGTGGGGACCGTGGGGGCGTGGGACAGGTGCGGGCAGGTGAGGTTGATGGGGATCATGGGGGCACAGGCAGCTGGAGGGAAGATGAAGATGGCAGTAGGTGAAGGTGTGGTAAGGCCTGTTAAGATGAAGGTGGGGCGGTGGCTAATGGTGCAGAGAAGTGAAGGTGGGCTTGGCTGGGGCCTGGGTGGGATCTGGGCAGGCAGGAGTGGGACTGGGGTGGGCCTGGTTGTGTGCGGAGCTGAGGGCAGAGGCAGGACCTGGGTGCCGTCCGGCACAGGGTCCTGGGGAGCTGAGAGTGAGGCTGGGGTGAGGTGAAGTAGGGCTGCTAGGGAGGTGACGGGGCCTGGGGCGGGGCCAGTTATGTGGAGGGCAGAAGCGGGCTCTAGGGCTGGTCTTGGGTCAGGGTTGGCTCTGCTGCAGTGGAAGGTCCTGTGCTCAGGGCCTCTTCCTTCCAGGGAAGCCACCTTCCTTCCAGATGCAGGTGAGCCTGTGTGTCTTTGTTTACTGCTGTGTCTGAGCAGTCCACGGGCCTTCAGGAGCTGATCTCTCTGGAGATTGCCAGGCCTTTCTTGTGTGGCGCCTGTGTGTGGACTAGCACCTCTGACCTTGTGGCTAGCAGCCAGCTGGACACGTGACTTGTTACTGCCACCCAGGGTCTCATTTTGCTCCCCCAGATCTTCTCAGAGGGCTGCATTAGTGGGTGACACGGGTGGATTGCATGCCGAAGTGAGCCAGGCCTGACACTGTGACCAGGGGCCGACACGGTCTCCTTTCTGGGTGGTGTGGGGTGGCGAGCTCACTGAGAGGCCACGCTGGCTGCGGCTGGGAGCACAAGCTGGGAGGCGTGAGGCCCAGCACTGACTGCCCTGAGTCTGCACTGTGGCTGCCCCCACGCCAGTGTCTTCCTGCGGGCTCTCAGATGCTGTCTCCATCTCACGTCACCCCATGAGTGAGGAGTGAACTTGTACCCGAGGTGTGTCAGTGGCTGAGTTCTCGAATCTAGTCACCAGGCCTTTCCTCTGAGGGACCTCCGGGTGGACCGCACTGCCAGCCTTCTGTTCAGTCACTGTGGGTAACCTGTCACGGGGTGGACAGGGGGCCGTGCGTTGGCATGACCGGGCTGACAGGTGATGGGCAGTGCGGCCGGGTAAGCAGGTCTGCAGCAGGTGCTTGGTCGCACCTTGCGGGTCAGGTTCTGTGGTCAGCAGAGCCGGGGGACGAACTGGACTCTAGCAGTCCTCCAGGCCACTGCTTCTTGTCCTGGGCCCCTTGGCTCCCCGTAGGCAGGTAGGACCAGGCCCCAAGCCTGGCAGTTCTGAAGTCCTGGACTAAGAAGATGTGGAGATACGCCCAGGTGGGCTTGTGCTGTGGGAGATGGAAGTCACATGGAGTGGGAAGTGGGGTGGATGTCTGGGTGCTGGGCTCCCCCTGAACTCTGGAATCTGTCCTCAAGAAATAGACCCACTCGGTGTCCAGTGTGGGGAAATGGACTCGAGCTTGAGCTTGGGCTTCAAAGAGCGCTGATGAGAGAGACGGGTGGGCTGAACCTGCTGGAGCCTCAGGGTGCTGGCCTCTGCTGTTGGCATGTAAACGGAGCCAGGTCAGCATGCTGGAGGGTTTGCAATCCCGGTCAGCTGGCCTTCTAAAGGCTGCCCCGCCCACTCGTGCACTGTCTCCCGCTGCGGGTGCTGTGTGGACAGTGGAGCGGGAGGACAGCACCACAGCTGACCTGAGGGTCGGGGAGAGAGCCGGCGGAGGCCGTGACTCGTGTTAGTGAGAGGTGAGGCGGCCTGAGATGGGACAGCGGCGGGGAGGGAGACGTTCCACACTCTGGGAAGGGGGTCAGCTCTCCTTAGGGTGCCCCCAGACAGGTCCCCATCTCCACACTCAAGACACCCCACCTTGAGCTGTTAGGTCAAGTCAACCATGACTCGGAACAACCAGCCCCGTGAGTGGAAGACCGGAATCCCACCCCATCCTGGTTATTTTGGTCGCCTGGTGCTGCTGTGGTGGTGCCCTGGTGGCCTAGTGGGTAAGGACTTGTGCTGCCAGTCTAAGGCGTGGTGGTTCAAATCCACCAGCTGCTGCATGGGAGAAAGATGCACCATCACCTCCCGTGCAGTGCACAACCTCTAAAACCCACTGGATGGTCAGTTACGAGCTAGCCCCGACTCGCCGTCCATCAGCAGGGAGCGAGCGGTACTGTGGCAATGAGTAGATGGGTTTTCTCATAGTCTAGGAAGCCAGCAGTCCTGTTTTGGGGTGCCAGGGAAGGTGCTCTCTCTGTCAGCTCTGGGGACGACCTTTATCTTTGCTTCCCCAGACCCCTATTCTTTTAGTCTCTGGGGAATTTCCACACAGCATCTGTCTGTCTTCATTTGCATTTACTTACCTCTGAAAAAGGACCCCTGGTGGTGTAGAGTGGAGTGTGTTGAGTTGCTTATCAAAAGGTCAGCAGTTCACCTTCCCAGACACTTCTTGGGAAATGGACACTCTTCTTCCTGTAACGATTTACAGCCTTGAAAACCTGGTGGAGGTCACCACTGGAGCGGGGCGGGGGACAATGGGGGGAACTGACTGGGGAAACCGGGTCGGGGGTCACCATGGGGGGAATTGACTGGGGAAACCTGGTGGCGGTCACTACGGGGGAGGGGGAACCGACTGGGGAAACCTGGTGGAGGTCACCATGGGAGGAACTGACGGGGTGGCCATAGGTAGGCTCTGTGTTTCTGCCCTTTCATCTCAGAAGTGATGAGACGTGGGACCACCCTGCACTCAGAAGGCCTCATAAACTTCACACATAGAGTCTTCTTTCCATTGGGGTCACCCCCACAGGTCCAGGGGTTCACACTGATACTCATATTTTGGGGAACTCAATTCAGTCACAGCCAGGCACTCTGCTCCCACCCACAGCCTGTGTGTTCCTGGCCGCTGTGGAGGCCGAGAGGAGGGGAGTCCTGGGCAGTGACCTGGGGGCCTTCTCTTTCAGACGTGAACGAGTGCGCCAGTAGCCCCTGCAGCCAGGAGTGTGCCAACGTCTACGGCTCTTACCAGTGCTACTGCCGCCGGGGCTACCAGCTCAGTGACGTGGACGGTGTCACCTGCGAAGGTGAGGGCGCCCCTGTGGACTGTGGGAGGGCACCCCGGCCCTGGCTCCCACCTACAGACTGGCTGTATCTCAGTGTTCACAGGGGATGGTCTGAAGAGACTCCCTGGGGGATGTGAGTCTTCAGGGTGAAGCCTCTGCTTCCCACCCTTCCGGAGAGCCAGTGTCCTCTCTCTGTCCTTCTGTCTGTCCTTTCTCGCTAAGATTTCTTGGGGTACATTTAACCCATTGTGGAATGAGGCTTGGGAAGGAATAACCCACTCCGAGTGTTCCTCAAACATGGACCACTGCTCGTGGGAACCTGTGCCTCGGTTTCCCGTGACTTGCAGTGGTCTGCGCAGCCCATTGCCACGGCTGGGCAGTGCCATGCCTCCCTGGATGCACTTTTGAACTTGAACAATTTCCCTCTGGAAGCCCCTCCCTGGTGCAGACCGGGGCTACCCTCCCACCTTACACGGGACCTTAACGTGACTCTGTGGTTGCTGGTGGATTAACTCAAAAAAGGACAGAGAACCAGCACAAGAGCTTACGTGGCAGCTGTGGTGACGGCAGGGACTGTTTTCCTTTAAGAACTTGGAAAAGCGCACAGCAGGGAATGCGCCAATTCCTACAGGAAGCCCAGTGGCTTCCGTGAATTCTGAGAGTTGTGGACTTCTGAGAGTTGTGGATGCTTCTTTTTTTTTTTTTTTTGATTTAGTTTGTTTATTTTTCATTTCAATGAATATCTACAGAGATTTTGGAATTCCATTCATTCATTGTTGCACCCTTCTCCCCGCATAAAACCCCCCCTTTGCTCCTCTCCTTGAAATCAAAAGAAAAACTCCCTCATTGGTACACAATCCCCCCGCACGCAGTGGACGGTGGGAGTGGATGCTTCTTGTTCTCTTTATTGAATTGTCCTCCCTTGTTGGCATTGACCTTGTTGGCCCCTGAGTTTCCCATCTCAGCTTGTTAGCTGCTGCTGTCTGCTGCACCTTCTCCAGGACGTACCGTGTTGTTTGTTTGTTGTTGTTATTATTATTAATTTTAATGAAAATTTACAGACATTTTGGATTTCCATTCATTCATTGTTGCACTTTTCTCCCTGCCCATCCCTCCCCTCCAGTTCATTATTCTCTTTGAAAAGTAAAAGAAAAATTCTTTCATCATTTAACAATCCTTCCCCTCAAGTCCACTCCACTATGCAGCCTTCGTTCTGGACTCATGACAATGCCTAATCATATATCCCTTTTAAACAGTTTTCTCCCTCATCTGTTTCAGTGCAGTCTACATTATTTATCCCTTCTTTCTCAGCCTCCCCTCAACCCCGATGTCAGTCCCGTTTTACATCAGTGGCACTATGCAGTATTTGTCCTTTTGTAACTGAGATATTTCACTCAGCATGATATCCTCCAGGTTCACCCATTTGAATAATATTGCCTGAGTTCCTTGTTTTTCAGTGCTGCATAGTATTCCATTGTGTGAATATACCACGGCTTCTCTATCCATTCGTTTGCTGAGGGGCATGCTTTGCTAGTACAGCTTTAATGTCATGCCTTGAAAAGGTGTTTTCCTGATTGTGATAAACTATAGGTAACTGAGCAGTTTTTGGTGGACAGCTGGTGACATGGACTGTGTTAATGCGCGGTGCCTCCGTCCCTGGTACCTGCAGGTGAATTTCCCGTCACCGTCAGCAGACACTCCCAGCGTGCTAAGCAGTGCTTCCCCGTCCTTCCTTCCACCCGAGTCACTCCTTGTCCACTTGGGGCTCGATGCATTCTCTCGGTCTAGCTATTTCATACACGTGGAATCATGCATAAGCAGGTGTGTGTTTTTATCAGCAAATTTACCATGGCATGAAGGCAAGGAGCCTTCAGCTGTTGACCAAGAGGTTGGCAGTTCAAGCCCACTATCTGCTTTTCCAGAGGAGGCTGAAGCAGTCTGTTTCCATAGAGATGTAGGATTTTGGAAACCCTCTGGGCACCTGTGCTCTGCCCTACAGGGTGTCTGTGAGTCGGGCTCGACTCGGGCATGCGTGGGTGACGTTAGGGGTGACATTAGGGCACCGTGGCTGCTCCTGTCTCTGCACAGCTGCCCTCCCTCGTGCATGCTTCCTGCCACGAGCCTGCTGTGTGACCTGGGCTGATCTCGCCCTCTCTGGGCCTGAGTGCTTCCTGACTCGTGGTGTCTGAGGCCACCCCAGCTCTGGCACTTTGAGGCCTCCTGTGGCCAGCTCGTCCTGTGCTGCTGTCCCCGTGGCGCGCGTCCGGTGGGGACTCGGGACTTCTGGGTCAGCGGGGAGGTGCTGGGACTCGGATGATGAGGTGGGCGTTGCTATTGCAGACATCGATGAGTGCGCCCTGCCCACCGGGGGCCACATCTGCTCTTATCGCTGTATCAACATTCCCGGGAGCTTCCAGTGCAGCTGCCCCTCGTCGGGATACAGGCTGGCCCCCAATGGCCGCAACTGTCAAGGTGAGCACGGTGACGCAGGGCTCGCTCGGGTCATGCTTGGGGGCCCCTGTGGGATGGAGGGCTCTGTGGGTGGGCCACCCCCAAATCAAATGACCGAGGGGCCATGCACACGGGTGCTTCTACCCAGCCGAGTCCTGGGTCCACACCCATCCCCTCCCGTAATCAGCCACCCTAGACCTGAGCCCACTGCCCTGCTCTCTGCTGCCCCTGGAGGCCAGGAAGGGGATGACAGGCTTTAAGAGGCAGGTGCTGGTGGCTTGAGAGGAAAGGGGTGTCTGGACACCCCCTGTCTGCCAGCTCGCCACCCACAAACCCTTGCTGTGGGTCCAGAGGTAAGAGCAAAGTGCAGAGCCAGATGGTGGAGGCCACTGTCCTGAGAGGTGACCACCCAGTCAGGTGGGGGTGAGGATAGCTGTGGAATGTTGAGCTGTGCCTGTCGACAGCAATGGCTCTGCAGACACGTGATGGTCTGGCTGGGCTGGGGGTCAGCTCCCGCCTGGGCTCAATGAGGGAAGGTCAGGGCGTCCATCCTGGGCACGGTGCCCTCCTCTGAAGGACACGGGTCACTGCATGTCTGACAGCTGAGACGTGGTGCAGGGATGGAGAGTTCTGGACTCACACGCTGGACATGGCGCCGAGGCCCTGCTCTCTGTGCCCACTCACGGAGACCCAGCAGGACAGAGCGGAACTGCCCCGTGAGCTGTCCACGGCTGGGCACGCTGTACGGGAGCAGACTGCCTCATCTGCCTCCAGAAAGAGCTGGTGGATTCGAACCGCTGACCGTTCAGTTAGCAGCTGAGCTCTTAACCTCTGCACCACCCCACACTGACCTCCCTGTCCCGGAAATCAACCAGCCTGGGGACTTCCCACCCCAGGCATCAGTCGGGGCCGCTGGGGCCGCATGCCTGCACTTGCTGGTTATAAAGTGGCAACTCTGGCCAGACGTGGGCAGAGCTGGGTGCGTGGCCATGAAGACACGCTAGTCCTGGCCTCTGGAGGGGTCACTTGCTGTGTCCTTTCCTGTCCCTGGCTGAGCTGTGTCCCCAGAGCCTCGGATCTATGTCTGCCCAGAATAGACATTCCTGAGTCCAGGGGATGGATGCCTGCAGCGGGTGGTAACACTCCAGTGCTGTAACCTCTGTCACTGTCCCTGAGACACTGGTCAGCCTGTCGGCTGCCTCCTCACATGGGATGGTGACCATGGCTTGGTGCCTCCTGGGTGGGGCATGTGCCCCAGGACCCAAGAGAGAGGTGCTGGGTCCCCACCTGTCCCAGCCCAGCTCTGTCACTGAGGACACTTGTGCCTCAGGCCTGTGTCTATGCCCTGGACACCTCTGTGGTGATGGGAGCCTGGCAGTGGCCTCACCAGTTGTGGGCACTACTCGATCTCCCCTGCTGAGCCTTTGCTGTTGTCCCTGTCCACCTGTTCAGGGACTTGGATGACAAGTAACTAAATGCCGCCCAGCTCCCAGTTGGTGGGAACCCTTGATGCCGGCCGTCTGGGGGTTCCGGGGCCTCACCGTCACTGCTCTTGGGGGTGTTTGCAGACATTGACGAGTGTGTAACCGGCATCCACAACTGCTCCATCAATGAGACCTGCTTCAACATCCAGGGTGGCTTTCGCTGCCTGTCCTTCGACTGCCCGGAGAACTACCGCCGCTCGGCAGACACGTAAGTCACCCACCCGCCGTGCACCGTCTGCGCGTCCCGGTGGGCCCAGTCCTCCTGCTGGCCTCTCTCCATGGCCGCTTCGCGCTTCCAGGCCTCCTCGCTCCACGGCCCACCCTGTGGCTCTGGGCCTCCCTCCATGGCCCACCACGTGGGTCCAGGCCTCCCTCCACAGACTGCCCCGTGGCTCAAGTTCTCTTTCCATGGCTGTTCAGCAGTTTGAGGCCTCCCTCCTCGGCCTGTCTGGTGGTTTACTCCTCCGTCCACGCCCACTTAGACTCAGCCCTCCTTCCGTGGCCCACCAAGCCTCGGGTCTCAGCCCCATAGCTCAGAAGCCAAGGCCTTCATGTCAGTCGGCGCTGACAGTCACTGAGACCCTGCCCGTCCTGTGCTGTCCCCACAGTCACTGCCATGTTTGAGCTCCCTGTTGCCCCACCGTGTCACTGCATGTCCCTGAGGGGACTTCACTGTCACTGAGCATGGTGTCCACCTGCAGAGGATGGCCTCTGGCTGACGTGTCCAGTGTGAGACCCAGGCTCCCACCTCCCCTCTAAGGAGCCCTCTGGTTACACTTCTTCCAAGACGAACTCGCCCCTCACCTCGCTGTCCCCACGTGTAGTCAGTGTCCTTCCAGACCACGGTTCCCACCACAGTTTGAAGGCATCAGGTCTCGTTTGGTCTCCTCGCCCTCTGTCCAGCTTGTGTGTATGAACAAGGTGATCAAAGCTGAGGGAGGGTCTTTGAGAGATGCGGAGGCCTTTGAGAGAGGCTGAGGCCTTTGAGAGAGTGGAGTCCTTTGAGAGAGGCTGAGGCCTTTGAGAGAGGCTGAGGTCGGGGAGCGCTCAGGGCCTGGCTTGTGTCTGGATCCAGTGTCCCTGCCCCCAGGACCAGCCTGGGCCTTGGTTCTCATCTGTCAGGAGAAGTTCCAGAACTTGTGCTGATGTGTTAGTGGCTCCGTGAGAGCCGAGGGCCAGCCAGCCCCGTGACGGGTCAGGGTGTCACTACTGGGCACTTCACCTGGGAGGCAGACTCTGTTGTCTGTGTGAACCAATCCTGGAAGTGTCTGAGCCCTGAAGCAGGGCCTGCACACACTGTAAGCTGACTCTGTCTGGGGCCTTGGGGCCCCTGAACCCCTTGTTCAGGGGAACCTGCCGGCGTGGTTCTCCTCACTCGCCCCACCCGTGACCGAGCACTGCAAGCCTTAAACAGTTCACCCAGCATCACCGTGGTGGTTTCTGGAGATGCCCCGTGCTAGGGCCCCAACACAAACTGTCCCCCAGAAGTGCTCCAAGCCCAAACAGCGAGGTGCCCTCAGCTCCAGATCCCAGAGTATCCGCACTGTTGATGCCGTACATCTCTAAGACCCTGGTCCCTGGAGTCTGTCCATGGGCCTCCCCCTGGGGACGGTCATGCTGACTCTGACGGGTTCCATGCTGGCTCTGCCCTGCGTGTCCCTGCCCAGCCGAGGAGTGCCTGCCTGGCTGCCAGAACGGGGCACTCAGTGTCAGTCCCTGTCACCTGTCAACCCCTGGGGTGCCGACAGTGGCCTCTGCTCCCCCCGGTTTGCTTTTCTTCTGGGTGACCTCTACCCCCTCACTTCTTCCTAGGCCTGACTGAGGGAGGCTACTCAGAGCCGCTCTGGGGTGGCCGGCGTACCCAGTGATGTTGGGTTACACAGTGCCTCATGGGCCACACTGGCTGTGTCCCCCCTTAGAGGGTGTGTGGCTCTTGTGACCACAGGACGCTGGCTCTGAGGTCTCACGGGCCTTTGCTGGTGTGAGGTCTCAGAAGGGAGTTGGGCTTTATCTGAGAGACAACAGGGGAGGCCCTGAATGGGGCCTGTGTCCTCCTGAGCCAGGCGGGCATGTGGCCATTTAGAGTGAGACTGATTGAACAGAGGCGGAAGGAATGGAGCCAGGCTGAGAGGTCAGAGGGCAGGTTTGAATTGAGGCGCAAACAATGGTGCTGGGCACCTACTGGGAAACCTGGCCACTGTATTTCTACTCAGGGCAGGTGAAGGGGAATCCATCACTTTCCATAAGGATAGAAGTTGGTAAAGCTCAGGAGACGGGTAGCATCCCACGACTGCCCCTCCGGTGATGGTGATGACCTCAGCCTTTATGGTCATTATCCGTGTCCCCGTTAGGGTGGACTCTCTCTTTCAGCACCAGCTCCTGCTCCACAGTGCCACCCAGTGGCCGTCGCTGTGCAGAGGCTGTCAGGGCGATGGTGGGATCAGCCAGGCTGTGTGGTGAGGGGCCCCCACACATGCAGGCATCTCTGCTGACCACACTCATTTATTTGTTGAGCCCAGGGCATGGAGCTGTAGGTCAAGTGGACACGGGCTTTATCCTGTCTTGGGATGCTGCTCCCAGACCCCAAACATTGTAGCTGACGCATCACCGACGGGAAGTCTTGGGCACACCAGCTGTGTGAACCAGGCTGGCACTCGGTGGAGGAGGTCATTGTTCTCATGGTTCTGATCCCTCAGGCCAGAGTCTCCTCTTAGCAGCCCTATTGTCTCAGGGCCCCTCGAGGGAGCAAATGGTTCAAAATGAGCTACAAACAGATGCGTTGGTGATGCCAGCCCACCAGAAGTACTGCAGAAGAAAGGCCTGGCAGTCGGCATCTGTAAAGATGACAGCCAGGAAGACCCTGCGTCTCAGTTGGACTTGGGGTCACCGTGAGTTGGGGGGACTCTGGCAATGGAGATTTTCTTTTCTCTCATCAAAACCCTAAGCCTCTAGACAGAAATTTTCCCCCCTAACCCTGTAAAGCCGTTTTTAAAATTGAGAAGAGGTGAGTTGAAGAAGGCAGTGGCCAGCAGGTCTGTGTTGACATGTGACAGTGGGAGTGACTGACTGTCCAGGATCCTTGACAGGAAGGACCCGGGCCTCCCCCTGCCCCTCCACGTGTGTCTGTCACTCTGTCTCCTCAGGCCGAGCGCTCTCCTCCTCTTCCTCATTATGGCCTCAGGGACCCAACCACACTGGGGATGGCTGACCTCATGGCTCCCTTCTGCCCACAGGAGGACATGCCAGCTGTCCCCGAGCCCTCCATGGGACTGACACATCCCTTCATCCCTCTCGTGGGCTGAGCTCTCTGCTGTCCACTGGGAAGCCAGAGCATGCCTGGGTGGCCTTGGTGGCACTTTTTAGGGAAGGGACCCCATGGACATCTCTGAGCCCAAGGGTGTAATGTGGGTGGGTGGAGAGGGGTGAGTATCTGATGTCCCCTCTGCTGAGACGGTTTCCAGAAGGACAGGAGCAGGGGGGTCGGAGAAGCTCCCCAGGATGAATGACGGCGTTCACACAGCCGGGGACCCTGGTGGCAGTCCCTTGCTCGCAGCCAGGACTTGCCTGGAGGGGCCTTTCCTCAGATCCGTAGTGTTTCTCTCTAGGGGTGTTTGCTCCGAACCTCAGGTGTTATGCTCAAATGTGTTAAGAGTGCAAACTTGGGGCACTCTGATCTCTCAGTAAAGACACAGTTTGGGACTCATGATAAGGAGGCTATCCGTGGAACCTGGGGTGCCTGGGTAGAGCTGGGGTGCCCATGCCCTGTTTGGGGTACACTTGGTGACAGCAGCACTTCCACCCCAGCCAGACAGCCATGCTAACAAGGTGTTTGTGGTATGTGTGGTCTGAGCACAGCTGAAATGTTGTGATTTCTGGCCTGTTTGAGTAGATTTGGGATGGAAGAAGGTAGAATCCAGGGACCCTGGTGACATGGTGTTAAACGTGGGGCTGCTCACAGAAGAGTTGAGTCTGAATTGATCAGCCCCCTGGGGGAGAGAAGACCTAGCCCCGTGAGTCCACAGCGGTCAGGTCCATTCTGACCCACTGTGACCCTGGAGGGTGGAGGTGAGCTGCTTGGGGGGATTAAGGCTCCTTCAAGTTGCTGATGGTTTCCGCCTCTTTATCTCTCAGCACAGTTAACCACTGTGCCACCAGCCTCCTGCCCTGTGATTGCAGCATGGGAACCCCAGTGAGGCAGTTCTGCACTGTCCCATGGTGGCGCCGTGAGTCAGCATTGGCTCAGTGTCAGGACGGCAGGGCAGAAGCATCTGCTTAGAGCCGAGGAGTGGCCCGGTGCTGGGGACTGTGGAGAAAGCCCATCCACCTGGGGAAGCTAGAGGGAGTTAGCTCATTGGTGGCGCAGGGCTTTGGGCTCTGGTGGATGACTGTGGATGGATGACTTCTGGCCTGAGAGGAGGCATGTCCAGCTGTCTGGTGTGGGCTGGCCTCGGGAACTGTGCCAGAGTACCACCCACGTGTCTCCTTCCTCACCTTGTGCTGGGTTAAAGCTTCCTTCTGACAGATCACCCCCCTCCTCGTCCTTGGCCGGGGCACAGCCCTCAAGGGAGACATGGCAAAGAGAAGCCCTAGGAGGGAGATCCTAACTCCCCCCACAAGCCAGTGCCTGCCTGGAACAGGTGTGCCTGCGGGGGGCGTCCTGTCCAAGAGCTCAGATGGTAAAAGGCTGAGTAAACTCCTGTCAGATCAACAACTTGGAAACAGATCCCAAAAGAAACTCCACTCACAATATCAAAAGTAAAATTAGTTCGTGTAGCTCAGTACAGACATGGAAGTGTTCAAAGCTGAAAGGGGGACGGAGGAGGTCCAGAGAGGATTCCTTCTGACCGGCGAATGTTGTGGGGTTGTTTTTAGATGCTGCTGAGTTGGGTGTGACTCATAGTGAGCCTGTGAACAGCAGGTCTGGACCATGTCCTGTCCGACGTCATCTTCATCTCTGACATATGTAAGCCTGTTGCTGCAGTCACTGTGTCCGTCCACCTCATCATGGGTCTTCCCCTCTTTCACTGACCTTCCACCTTTCCCGGCATGATGTCCCTTTCCAGGGAAGAGTCCCTCCTGACAAGTTGTCCATAGTATGTGAGATGAAGCCTCGTCGTCCTTGCTTGTACGGAGCACCTGGCTGCACCTTCTCCAAGACATACCGTTTGTCCTTTTGACCGTCTGTAGGGTATTCAAACACTCTTTCGCAACAACACACCAGCTTCCATTTTTCATCTATCATCTTTATTCATTGTCCACTTCTCAGATGCATAGCAAGTGGTTGGAAAGACTATGGGCTGAATCAGGCGCACCTTAGTCTTCAAACTGACATCACTGCTCCTCAGGGGCTTGGAGAGGTCCCTGCAATAGACTTGTTCTGCCAGTGCCATCGATGTTGGTTGTGGATCGAAGTAAGATGAAGTTGTTGAAAGCTTCAATCTATCCTCCATCTGTCATGATGCTGCCTGTCCATCCAGTGTGAAAATTTTTGTCGTCTTGATGTGAAGATGAGTTGAAAATCAAAAGGGCTGAACTCACTCGACATTTCTTAAATTGAAGGAACTAAAAAAAAACTAAGCTGAGAGTTGGAACACTTAGGGATGCTATGGGCAGAATATTGAATAATCCATGAAGCATTAAAAGAAAGTGCAAGGAGTATACAGAGTCGCTGTACCAAAAAGAATTGGCTGTCACAGAATTTCAAGAAAAATATGTTCAGAAGGCAATGATGGTGGAAAAAGTGCAGACAGCTCTGAAAAACTTGGGAGAAATAAGGCCTCAGGAATAGATGGTATACCAATTGACATATTTCAGCAAACAGATGCTGCCCTGAACGTGCTCACCAGGTTGTGCCAAGAAATCTGGAGGACAACTACCTGGCCAACTGTCTGGAAGAGACCCATGTTTATTCCCATTCCTAAAAAAGGTGACCCGATAGAGTGTGGAAAGTATCAAACAATATCATTCATAACACACTCAAGCAAAATCCTGCTGAAGATTATCCAAAATCAGCCGGAACAGTATATCAACAGAGAATTACCAGAAATACGAGCTAGGTTTAGAAGAAGTTGTGGCACTAGAGACATCACCAGTGTCAGATGGATCGTGACAGAAAGCAGGGTACCAGAGGCATGTCTACCTGTGTTTCACTGACTGTGCAAAGACAGTTGACTGTGTGGATCACAACAAATTGTGACTTTCCTAGACAAGAATGGAAATCCCTGAACACTTGATGGTGCTCATGCGAAATCTCTACACAGACCAGGAAGCAGTCCTCAGAAGAGAGCAAGGAAACACTGCATGGTTCAAAATCAGGAAAAGAGTGCGTCAGGGAGGCATCCTGTCTTCATACCTTTTCAATCTAAATGCAGAACAGAACATTCAGGAAACTGGGCTTGATGAAGAGGAATGTGGCATCAGGATTGGAGGAAGATTTCAACAACCTACATTATGCAGATGATGCAATCTTGCTTGCTGAAACTGAGGAGGACCTGAAGTGCTTGCTGCAGAAGGTCAAAGACTATAGTCTTCAATATGGATTGAAGCTCAAAATCAAGAAGACAAAATTTCTCACCACTGGGTCAATTGGCAGCATCATGATGGATGGAGAAGAGATTGAGCTTGTTAAGAATTACAGCTCGCTTGTCTCCACACTCTTGGTGCCAGCACTAAGGAAATCAAAAGACAAATTGCACTGGGGGAATCTGCTGTCGGGACCTCTCCAGAGTGCTGGAGAGCAGTGATGTCAGTCTAGAGACTAAGGTGTGCCTGAGCTAGACCATGATCTTCACGATTACTTGTTATGCAGCAGAGATCTGAACAATGACTAAGAATGAAAGAAGAAGAATCAATTCCTTTGATTTGTGGTGCTGGAGAAGAGTCTTGAACGTACAGTGGACCACCAAGAAAACAAATAAATCTGTCTTAGGATGAAACCAAGTTTCTCAATGTCTTCTTTAGCTTTAGATGAAGGAATGTGTATTTGCATAATAGTTGTTTTGACGGATCTTACTTATATGTGTATTGATAATATCCTGTCACTCTCAACATTATATTTCAGGATAGAACTTGACTTTTAACTTTTTGACCATGAAAGTAACACCAGTCTTCTGTTTTTCATTCCTGGCATAGTATATATACACCATATGATTATGTGATTCTAAGGGGCCAAAGCTAGTCCATCTCATCTCACTAATGCCTTGAATGTCAATGTTCATGCATGCAATTTCATTTTTCACAATTTCTAGTTTTCTGTCATTCAACCTACATACATTCTATTTCAAATTATTAAATGATGTTTGTCATTATTTTTCCTCATTTCAACTGACTTCCAATCTGGCCTCTACCACTACACTTCTATAACCACATTCCTCTACTGTTCACAGTGTTGCAGATCCTGTTATTTAAGAAGTGAGTGGCAAATCCTGCTTCCTAGTCTGTCTTAATCTGAGATCTCTACTAAAAGTTGTCCACGATCAGTAACCCTTGTGGCATTTGACATACCAGTGGCATAGCTTTCAGTATCACAGCAACTCACCAGTTACCTCAGTCCAGCAGGCTGACAGACAAGAGCCGCACTGATTAGAACAATGTTCTCCCCAAACACAACAAACTGACAGTTTGATTTGTAATTCTGATAGCAAATCAGTGTTCACACCAGGCCCAAGGGTATGGTAGTGAAAAATATGGACTTGGTGACAGAAATGAGGTTGGAGAACAAATGACTGAATTCTGTATGTTCGATGATTTAGTCATTGCAGAGACTTTTTAAAAAAGATATGCAAATAGTGACTATTCGTGTGGACCTCACGTGATGGACTGCTTAGGAATCAGATGGGCTACATCTGTGGAAAGAGTCGTTGGAGAAGCTTAATATCAACAGTCAAAACCAGGCCAGGAGCTGACTGTAGAACCGACCATCACTTATTCATGTGCGAGTTCAAGCTGAGACTGAAGATTTCAACAAGTCCATGAGAACCAAAATATGACTACGATTTCATCCCACCTGAACATAATAGTTATTTCAAGAGGGAATTTAAGACACTGAACACTAATGGTCGAAGACAAGATGAGCTGTGGAATGACCTCAAGGGTATCATCTAAAAAGAGGGCAAAACGTCGTACGTAGAGGAGAAAGATTGTAACAGATGTTAGAAGGAACCCTGCACATTGCACTGGAGCGCTGAGAAGCTAACGCAAAGGGAAGAGACGCTGAAGTGAAAGAGTGAGACGGAAGATTTCAAAAAGCAGCTCGAGAAGACAAAGCCGAGTATTGTAACAGAACGGGCACAGAGCTGGAGTCAGAGAGTCAAGAAAGAACTCGCCCTGCCTCGGGCTGAGAGAATGGAAAAGGAAATCCAAGCCTTGAGTTGCAATACTGAGAGATGCTTGACATGGAAATACTTCAACAGCAGCATATGAACAAGACGTTCAAGCACTGAAAAAAATCAGGCCCTGGGGTCAGTGGGATCCCAACTGAGCTCGTTTTTTTAGTGTGTGGAATGTGTTCTGCCAATTCCTTTGGGCCTTTACACCTTGCTTCTCTTTACTAGGACTTCTTCAGAGTATGGTGGGCTTGGTGTGCAGGAGGCAGAAGCTGATCTCTGCCCCCATCCTGTTACAGGAAGTTGGAATTTGTCAGGAAGTCAGAATCTGCACTATCCTGTCAGAAGAAGTCACGAGCTGTCCCCGTCCTGTCGGAAGTCAGAACCTGCCCCTGTCCTGACACAGGAGGACACGCAAAGTCAGAACCTGTTCCGTCCTGTCACGGGAAGTCAGAACTTGTCCCCAGAAGTCTGAATCTGCCCCATCACATCAAAAGAAGCTAGAACCTGTTCTTACCTGTCACAGGAGCTTAGAACGCATTTCATCCTGTCCTAAGAAGAATCTATACCCTTTCTTTCACGAGAAGTTAAAATCTGTCTCCATCCTGTCATTGGACAGTATCGTGCTTCTCCCCAGCCTGTTGTTACAGGAAGTTGAAATTTGTCCTCTATGTCACAGAAAGTTGGAATCTGTCCTCATCCTGTGTCACAGGAAGACAGAAAGATAGCTACCTCCATTTCAGGCCTTGGGACCACGTTTGGGACACTGGGTCTGGAGCACAAAGCTTGGTGACAGTCTGGGAGCTGGGGGGAGACTACTGTTTGTCTGCACACAACTCTCTTCCGCTCGCTCTGTGTCCCAGGGAGAGCTACTTGGCTTTTCTGGGCCTGTTTCCTAATCTGGAAAAGGGGACTGGACACCACCTTCATAGTATGATGATAGCAGTGGCTCAAGAGCCTGGCCAGCGCTCCATGCGAGGCAGTAGCCATGGTGGCCAGTGCAGAGGCAGTTACGTGGAGGTCATCTCTGTGACCCAGCCAAGAGCTCAGGGCAGCCCTGACCACTGCCTGTGCCTGGACGACACCCGGAGGGCGGAACGTGCCCGGCCAGCTCGTCCTGGGTGGGGCTCTGCTGGTGAGCAGGGGACACCCTCGCTCTGGACAGGCGTCCCCAGCCAGCAGCGCCGAGGTCCCACGGTGGCTCTCCCAGGTGAGTGGGGCTGCCAGGGGGCGGCAGGCGTGCAGCCCCCAAGCCCCTGCTCCGCACGCCGCCCCGCTTGCTGAGTGTGCACTAACCCTGTCCGTGTCTCTGTCCACTTGTCTTGCAGCCGCTGCGAGCGCTTGCCTTGTCATGAGACTCAGGAGTGCCTCCAGCTGCCTCTGAGAATAACCTACTACCACATCTCTTTCCCCACCAACATCCAAGTGCCGGCCGTGGTCTTCCGCATGGGCCCCTCCAGCGCCGTCCCCGGGGACAGCATGCAGCTGGCCATCACGGATGGCAATGAGGAGGGCTTTTTCAGCACCCGCAAGCTGAGCCACCACAGCGGCGTGGTGGTCCTCACCAAGCCGGTCCCCCAGCCCAGGGACTTGCTCCTGACCGTCAAGATGGACCTGTACCGCCACGGCACCTTCAGCTCCTTTGTGGCCAAGCTGTACATCTTTGTGTCCGCTGAGCTCTGAACGCTTGCTTCGGTCCACGCTCCCTGGCGCTCTCCATGCCCTCCTCTCCTGGCATCTGAATAAAGTCTAGCTGGAGGCCCCTTGGCTGGACTTGGTTTTATTCTGCATGGCCATGTGTTCCGTGTGCTGATCGCCTGGGGCAGAGCTGACCTGTCCCCTGGCACCCGCAGGGATGAATGAGTGTGCATCCAGGGAGGGAAAAGCGAGGCTGGGGGCTTTCTTCCTGAATCTCCAGGAATAAGGAGCTCCTCCTTCTGTGTTCTGTTGGATGCTGAGGGAGAGATGGTGTCTGGGATGTCTAAGCTGTCTTCACTGAGCGCCCTCCCCCACTGGCAGCCTCGAAACCGCCCAGGGAAAGGGATGGGCTGGTGCAAGGACACTGGCCTGTTGGCAGCAGTGATCTAGCGTCCAAATCCTGGGGCCCCTCCTTGGTCCCTGTGGCATTTCTTGACTTGGTTTCCCCCAGACGCGAGGCCATTCTGACTGAGGGTGACGTCACAGGACAGATTAGGGCTGCCCCGCGGTCACCAAGGCGTCAACTTTATCAAGCTGGATGTGTAACCACCCCAAAACCTGCAGAGTCCTGGGATTCTTTCCCACTCTGTCTGTCTCAAGGGGACGCCCGGAGCTGTGGTGGGATGCTACCCAGCTAGTGGCAGGCCCTGGGACCAGCCTCGGGCCAAGTAAGGGGGCACCTCTGTGGAGGGGAGGAGCGTGGGCCTGACCCCGAGGAGGCCAGCGGGCAGAGGCAGTTTTAGGGGGTGTTCATTGGCCCAGTCCTGCCCCAGCCCTGCACAGAGAGCATCCGTGGGACTAGGGGTGGTCGAGTGTTTGACCCGCGGCCACACAGCCGATGTTTGAACCCACATTGCTGACACAGCACTGAGTTTTCCCTCCAGTCCTCCAGCGTGACCCTTCGCCATATCCTCTTTGTGACTTGGGGGACCACTGTCTTCACCCACCCTTGGCTGTCTCCGCATTCACGTCTCTGCGCTGCAGTTGGAGCTTCTTTAGACACAAATGGGACCGTCCACCCCTGTTTAAAATACTCCAGGCTCCCATTATTTATGGTAAAGTTTCCAGCACCCATTAGAGTCTGCGTGATCTAGTCCTTGGGTGTCCCCCTCGCGCACTGGCCTTCAGCCACATAGCTGAGCTAGTCACCGAGGGGACCCTGGGAAAAAAGGTGCTTTGTACCTTGGGCCCCAGAACTGGTCAAACCCACATGCTCAGAGAGGCCTCATCCCACAGCCTAGGCCACGCTCCTGGTCATCTCTCAGGGTGATGGCCCCCCCATCACGACGGGGTTACATTCGCAGGGCCCTGTTTGTGGGTGGTTAGCTTTCGTCTCCCGCACCACCCAGCAGGCCCAGGAAGGTGGGGACTGGGTCTGTCTAGTTGGGGGTCTGCTCTCACTCCTGGCTTGGAGCTGGATATGAGAGGTGCTCCATCCACGTCCAGGGAGGAAACGAGTCAGGGCCCTGGCACCATTTTTTACCTGTGTTGCTGCCACATCTGTGCTGTTCTGTGATGAGAGGACGGAAGTAGACAGGACACCACAGTGACATCAAGGGTCTGGCTCAGTGATCTTTCATATAGTGGCATCTAAGGGGCCTGCCTTGCTGTCCAGTGACGAGAAGAAGAACCAGTTAGTTGTGCTGGAGAAGAGTAGTGAACATAACCATGGACGCCAAGAGAACAAACAAGTCTACCCTTGAGAGGATGAAACCAAGCTGCTCCTTAGAAGCAAGGAATTTGAAGCCCCATCTTGAATACTTTGGACATGGAGGGACCAGTCCTTAGAGAAAGACCTCATGCTTGGAAGGACTGAGGGACAACACAAGAGAGGAAGACCCCGGATGAGATGGATTGACGCAGTGACTGGGGTCCTAGGGGCAGGTGTGTCTGAGATAGTGAGGTTGGCTCAGGATAGAGCAGGGTTCAGAGCTACTGTACACAGGGTCACTAGGAGTTGCAAGCGACTCAGTGGCACATAACAACCACAACAGCTGTACGTTAAAGGACAGCAGTGACCTTGGCAGGGAAGCACTTGCTTCCTAACTGGTCACCTCCAGGCTTCTCCCTCATGACCTCTGTTCTTGATCAACTTCCTGTCTCTCATCTTCCAGAGCATTCTCCAAGCTAAGGGCGGAGGGCCTCTTTTAATGGCCTTCTTCAGAGCCCTCCTGGGTCCTCTGTCACTAGCAGGCAAAGTCCACCACACTGGGAGCCTCGCTCAGTGCCCCCCTGAGCTGGCCTCTGCCCACCTTTGCACCCATGTCTGCTCGTCCCCAGCCTCCAACTCACCCTCTGAATGTTCCAGCCTCTTGGACCTGCTTGCCCAGCCCTGAGGGCACCTCCCGTTCCCTAGCTCCTGCCAGGCAAACCTGCAAACTTCTGTCCTTGATGACTTAGCTTAAGTGTTTGCCCGCAGGGACGCCCTTCCTTAACCTGACTTCCTGCATCCTGGCTGCACTTGGACTTGTGGGATTGCTGTGGGGGTTTGGGGGTGGCTCAGTGTATCCTCGCCTTCCACACGGGGGACCTGAGTTCCATTCCCAGCTGATGCCCCTCATGCACAGTCCCACCACCAGTCAGTGGGGTTTGCACGTTGCTGGGGTGATGGACTTGAGTGTATCATAGATGGTCAGGATGACACGGGACAGGACAAGGCTCAGATCTGTTGTTGACAGGGCCACTGTGAGTCACCGCTGGCTTGACAGTACCTAACAACAACAATGTGATGTTGACAATGTGTCAGCAGAACTTCCAGACTAAGGTGGAATGAGAACAAAGGCTGACCTCCTTGTGGAAATGAGCCGGTAAAAACCCTGTGGGTGGCAATGTCCACGCCACAGCTGGTGATGGGGCCGGTGGAGGACCGGGCAGTGTGTCGAGTTGTGTGTGGGATGCCGTAGTCAGGGTTGGCAGCTCACAACAACAGCTTTCTTCTTGTTGTTTATTTTCTCCTCCAGACTGGGGACCTTTTTGAAGGCAAGGATTGTGTCTGATTAACCTCTTAGCACTTTCATGTTTGGTCTGTAGAGGAACCTCAGCAGAGATTTAAATGAACATGGATGGAGGGAGGGACGGAGGGAGGGAGGGAGGGATGAATGTTTGGATGGTGGCTAGCTGAATGAATAGATGGATGGATTGATAGATGAGTAAATGTACAGAGGGATTGACCAGTGGGTGCTTGGACAGATGGATGAGTGGATGGACAGATGGATGGACTGGGGGATGAATGGATGGGGAAGGGGAGACAGACGGATGCATGGATGGTGGGTGAGTGAACGGGTAAGTGGATGAATGGCTAGACTGGCAGATGAATGGGGAGGAATGGATGAGTAGATGGATGAATTGGTGGGTGAATCGTGAATGGATGGGTAGATAGAATGGCAGTGTTGTTGTTTTTATTTTATTTTACTATTTTATGTGTGTGTGCCGTCAAATTGGATCCCACTGGTACAGGAGGAGATTGCCCCTTCTTCTCCAGCAGACCATCTGGTGGATTTGAACTGTATACCTCTGGGATTGCAGTGCAACTTCTTGAGATGGTAGTATTTTTTTTTTTTTGAGATGGTAGTATTTTTAAGATTTATCCAAATGTCCCTGCCTCGGAAGCCAGCAAAGCACAGGAAGGATTCCATGGAAAACACTTACATCCAGATTAAATAGCTAAATAGCTCCATGAACCCCCAAGTGCTAATCAGGCTGAACCACGTGGTGTTGGTATTTGTGCAGGAGGAAGCAGTGGGGTATCCAGTGGCCCTGAGATGAGGAAAACATCAAAGTAGTTGATAGACATTCAGTGGAAAGGTCAGTGGACCAATTCACGAGCAGCAGGTGAGGCCGGGAGCACTTTGCTCCCTCTGAGACCAGCGTGTGCAAGGAGTACATCACGGAGATTGAAGGGCCAGAGCAGTCCAGGGAGCCTGGGGACTCATGAAGCAGCTACAGGTCAGTGAGGCATACTGAGAAGATGCTGGAAATAGAACATAAAATAGAGCAAAGAAATAACAGAGACTGCCTAGTTACTTAGTGCTGCTGTAACAGAGATACCACAAGGGGGTGGCTTTCACAAATAGAATCTCTTACCATTTAAAATATCAAATGGGGACAAACTTACAGCTGACTCTCCAGCTACAAATCACACAGGAGAAAGTTGTGCCTATTTCTCTCTTGTGGCCACGGGTGGATTAGAACCTCCAGAGAAGTGCTGTCTTTGGGTTAACAGCACAAATCCCTATGGCTTGTGCCATCAGAGCTCCTTAAATACTACATATGTAGGTTGAGAATGTTATGTTTAAAATAAAAAAAAAAAGGTGTGCATCAGAGCTGAGCAAATAATTCAAGAAGCTGAACTTGATGAAGAAAAATGTGACATCAGGATTAGGGGAAGATTCATCACCAAGCTACATTATGCAGATGACACAACCTTCAAAGGAAGGACGCACTTGCTGCAGATGATCAAGGACAACAACATTCAATGGGTGCAGCTCAGCACCGAGACAAAAGTCCTCACCACTGACCAATAGGCATGATAGATGGAGAAAAGATTGACGTGATCAGTGATTTCTTCTTGCTTGGTACAAGCAGTTAAGAGATCAAGGATATATTGCATTGAGATGTATGGCCACACCTGGAGGATAAAGGTGAGTGTCTCTCCTGAGTCTCAGCTGGATGGATGCATGTGGCCTCTGGAGCCTGGAAGAGAGGACGTCTAGCACTGGTGTGTCCACTTGCTGTACAGAGGTAACTTGTGGTTGCTGTGAAGCTGAACACTGTGAAATGGTCATCCATGGCGGACAGTGTTTGGCGGAGCTCCCCAGTTAAAACAAGCTTGGAAGCAGGAGCGGCATCCACTTCCATAAACAGCTTGCCTCTGGAAATCCTATGAACCTGGATAAAGGATGAAAGTAACGCAAGTGTCGAGGACTTTTGTTCATAGGGTCGCTGTGAGTCGCCTATGACTTGATGGCTCTTAACAACAATTTCAT